AAAGAAAATAAATAAATTGTTGGCGGTAAAATTAAATGAAATATATCAATCATGCATTGACATGCGAAACAAGCTGTTATATTCACAACAATTGCATGCAATGCAAATCGCAAAAAAATCCAGGAAAACCCATTCAGCTGGCTCGATCCATAAGCCAGACAGGCTTGACAAGGTGAAGCAGGAGAAAAATTCAACTTACCCACATAAGAAAAGAAAATTGTCTCAGATAGTTAGAACTCTATAATTAGGATAGCAAGAACAGTGTGATTGAATAATGACCCCTTTTCAAAAAGAAACCAAACACCACAAGTATTCATCCTGAATCTTAATTATCCTAACCAAACAGAATATGAAAGATTATAGAAAGTTTTTCCTGAATATTTTCACATATGAATCCAAAACCAGACTAGAAATATTCAGGGAAGATAGATACAAGCGACAAGAACAGCAACAACTAGTGTCAGCTTCCCTAGGCCCTAGATCATATAAACAGTGGCATCCTTATTATGTGGAACAAAATGTTTGTCTCCGGCCATTACTGCATGATCCAGACACAGACATGGCACGCTTAGAAACATAATGTTGCGAAACATTTGGTGATGGTGATGTTCTCTGTGAATGTTACACGCACACATGAATAGAAAACTAGCATACAGAAAAATAAATAAAAATAAAGAAACCAAAGTGTCAATATGAGGTCATTGGCTGGTATTAAATTAAAAAAAAAAAAACAGCTCAGGGAAAACATACATGTACAATTTTTTTAAAAAATAAAAGAAATCAGGATGATAAGCCCTTAATTTGCTCAAAATCATAAAAAAAAATTCAAAAAGGAAAAGGAAATTACAACATATGTTTGCAACAAAAAAACTACTTACAGGAGTCATATGACTTAATTTACGAATTCAATATATAACTAATCAAATCAGAATCATTTAGACTAATAAATGTACATCGAAAGGCGACAAGGAAGAGCTACAAATTATGGGAACATGAAACAAAAGTGGAGGGAAAAGAACAGAACTTGGCATACTGAAGAGACCAGTAAAAGTACTGGCAGATCTTCTCTAGAATGGTAGTGCTTATCTCCGGAAAAGTAACTTCTCCATGCTCCGTCTCCGCGAAACTCCCTGCCACATTTTTTTAGGAAAAAAGAAAACCCTAATTCACGCAAGAATTGTACATTAACCTAAATAATTTGATTTTTGCAATAATTCATAAAGGCAAAACAGAGCCATGTAATCCAACGGTAATTAATTACATGGAAACAAATAATTGCAATGAAAGAGCGAAAAGAAACCCATTAAATATAAGAGCAGAGAGGGGAGGGGGACAATAAAATAAGAGGAGAACAAAGAAAAGGAAAAGGGGACCTGGAGAAGTGAGCATGTTACGGATTGTTTGTGAAACCATAGCAGCTTCCTTGTGGATCACGAACTCGAAACCCTCCGCGCTTATCAGCTTCACTGTATCTTCCTTTCTCATTTTCTATTTTCTTTTTCAACTGATTTTCCTTTTCTTTTGCACTGTTCCAACGCAGGGAGTCATGTGGCTCCAAATTTGTGCGTGCATTTATTTATAGGAGTGCCCCAGCCAGCGGTAGTGGGCCTTCGGTCTGGATTTGTTCACGCAAAAGGCCAAGAACAGATTTATTATAGGATCACAATTTTAATTACATTACAATTAGCTACAGTTACAAAACATACTAAATCTTTCTCCACGGTAACCATAAGTGTTTTAAAATTTCATACTCAAACCTTTTTTTATTTCAATTGCATCCTTCAATGACTAATTGTTAAAAAAATTAAACAAGTCAAAACTCAACAAAAAAAAAAAATCCAAGTGCAAAATAAGGAAAAATTTCATGACCAATCTCAATTTTAGATAAAAAGGTGATGTTCATTCCGCTTACTTTCCTTTTCCTTCTTTTATGGTTCCTATAGTTTTTGTAATTTAAATTTTGATCTAAAATATCTCTTTTTTGATATTTCAATTCTTGATTTTGATAAAGAGAGAGAACAGTGAAAAATAGAAAAGATCATACCATGTTTTAGCAATTAAAAAGAAAAAGATCTTAGTGTCAACAATTCATTCAATGAAAAAAGTTTCATTAAGGTGATTTAGACCTTCAACTTTACTCAAAAAGTAAATTGAAATTGAGAGAGAATTTTCTTTTGATTTTGTGTTTTTTGAACTATTTTAAAAGTGTTTTAAGTTGAGAGATTAGTTTTAATAAAGTGCTAAAGATGATTATTATTTATTTTTGGATTAAAATATGTTTAAAAATGGTTTTTAAACCCAAAAACACCCTAAAATGATTTTCCAACCACATCTAGGGATTTAGGATGGAAAAACAACGTGTAATTTGCATTTTAAAAAATAAAAGCAAATGATATGTTGTCCACTCTTTAAAAAAATTAATATAGATCCAATTATATGGGCCCGGTCTTACAAGCTTGCACACGTAGGCTCTTTATGTATTGGGTCAATTGTGACAATTGTGACGTCATGGCTTTTTATTTTAAATTTTCTTTCTTTCTCTTTTGGATTTAGATTTAAATGCACCATAAAAAAAACTATATTTAAATTATTATTAAATTTTATCATGTTTCTAAAATAATATTATTGGTTTTTATGGGAATGTTAATATTTTTTTTCTAATTATTATGTGCCTAACATGAAACAAAAAAAGTTACGAATATTAAATTACCATAAAATTTATATTTTTTAAGATTTTAAATATATTTCTTTTATGAATTTATCACATTTATTATGTTTTTTTTATTCAATTATATACAAAGTACCAAGACTTTGTTGTAATCTTTTTAATTTACTTTTGATATATTTTTAATTAGAATAAGTTCTTGCATTTTAGAAAATGTCTTTATTTTTTGTTTGTTATTAATTTTACAAGTGTCTATTTTAATATAGTCTTACTAAATAAAAGATATTTTTAAAGAACACAAAGTTATAAAATTAAGTTGAATCCATGATTCAGGTTACTGATTTGAAAAATTAACAAAAATTATTAAATTTAGTATAATCAATAATTTGAACCGCAAGTTTTACAAGTTAGCCTGAGTTAATTTTTTTAAAATTATTTTTTTTAATTTTAGTTTTTAATGTTAGGTTTATTGAGAATTAAATTTTATAATTTTTTTACTTTTTATAGGTTTATTGTGGTCTCAAACAAATATTATAGTATTATAAGTATCTATTTTTTTATTATGTAATTAAATAAAAATAGTTTCACATAAAAAAACAAAAGGTTTTTAAACCTACTATTATAGATCATGGCCTCTAGGTTGTATGTTTAATTGATTAAGCTAGGTTTATCTATGATTATTTTAATATATTATCGTCTCAATTATAAAAAAACAAAAAATTCATAATAATTTTTTTAAACAAAAATATAATTTTGCTGGTTGGTTGAATTAATTTTAGATATACAAAATTGATTGAGTTACGTTAGAATAATTTTTATATAATTTAATCCAAGACTCGTCAAGTAAAAAAGGTTTTAAAGTTGATTTTTTGAGTCAAATTTCACCATACAAACAAAAAATTCACTGTAACCTGTAGGAGGAAAATAGCATTCAACAGAAAAAGTTGAAATTTATTTTTTTAAAACAATGAGAAAATATCTCTATATAAATTAATGTTCTTACTCTCGAACAATCACCTAAATCAATGCTTGTATTTAAAAATAAAACAAAATTATTGAATAAAAAAATAAAAATTAAGAATCCACCAATCATAAATTATAGTAGGCACGAGTCAAGAAAACAAGGAGTATTTGTTATGAGTTAGAATCAATCAGGTTTTACTTTTAAACCCATTTTTTCTTTTCAATTTATTTTTAAAATTTTGACCTTTACATTCTTTAGTTTATCTTGCCATATTTATTTGTCCAAGTGTTGCACCATCTAGGAAGAAATTATTCTTACTTTCTTTTTTCTTATCATCTCTCTGTCCAGATTGATAAAATAATTACTGGTAATTGTTCTAGGGTTAGCTTATATATTAATTGATATTTGTTTTTCAAGTTATTCTAAGCATATAACTCCCAAATCAATCTATCATATTTACAAAAAAATATTATTTTTTTCTAATATTGATTAAAAAAATAAAAAAATGAAGCATATCTTTCAAATCATTCTACCGAACTCTTAAAATTACCATAAAAATATCCTACCAACTCATTTATGCGATATGTTCTGAACAATCCCTCGTCTATACTTGTTCTTTTAGAATTTAGACAGACCTCTGTTATGACACGTAAAGACTCCAAAGAGTTGGGTGCCCGAAGGTCAAGGATGCTCTCCTGTCCAAATCCCAAACAAGAAAATCAGCTAATTCTGGGCATGCGCTGACGCACGCACTACCTGCACTGCCATCCCATCCATGTCTGTTTTGATGTGGTCATCAATGGCGTGTCTTATCTGCTACACCAAGGCCAAGCCATTCATGTCATCCTTTCATTCAATATGGACTATATTTTTCACTCTCACTTAGGAGGCATTGCCTCACATGAGTCATATTAATATTATATTTAAGGGTTGCCTGATTATGGAGTTCCTATACGAGGCCAAGTGCTTTTCCTCCCAGTACAATGATTAGCCCTTCGAGTCATATTATTTTTCTTTTTTCAAAAACAATATTCAGCAGAAGTGGTAATAGGATATTCAATAAGGTCTCATTGACAGGAAGATAGCAAGCATAACATTTCAGGTCATTACTTCCAAGTCAGACGATCATTTGCAAGAGAAACCAGCAGGGCAGTTGGCTCTTCTGTGGTTTCAAACAATTCTTCTGGTTGTATTCTGTTCAACTATTTTCTGATATACTTTCCCGCCGTAAAATGATTCAGAAATAAAATTTTTGAAAAATGTTGAAACAAAGTCATGCTGGAGAGATCTGAAAGCTTCCTACTCAATTTGTACAGTTACATTATGAATTCTGTGCGTTCTCTCACAGTAGTCCCATATCCTATGAAGAATTTCAGTAGAGCTGGCGCCAGGCTCAGCAATTACATGGCAAGAGAACACCGGTTTCCCTACTGTTAGGGACCATACATGCACGTTATGAACATCTTGAACTCCTTTAATACACTTTAGACCACTCTCCAGCCTGCTAACACTGATTTCGCGTGGAGTGCTCTCCATTAGTATACAGAAGATATCTCTAAGCATCGGCAAAGTAGTAAACAGAACAAAAGTAGAGAAGAGTAGAGTGCAGATAAGATCAACCACCAACCAATCTGGTTTGGCCCATATAACTGCTCCAGCAATCATCACACCAACAGACTGAATTAGATCAGCCATGACATGGAGGTATGCCCCTTGGATATTTATGTTCAAAATCTTTGTATTTACTGGAGAACTTGATGCCAGCTTAGTCTCCCCCCCTTCATCTGCTGCACATAAATCCTCTCTCTCGTGGTTGTGGGTATGATCATGATTGTGAACATGGCATGCATGATGAGAGTGATCATGGCCCAGCCACACGACCATTATAAAATTAATGATAAATCCAAATAATGCAATTGCAAACATGAGTCCTCCATTCACCCCTGCATTTTTGTGAAGAATTCTGTCAATTGCTTCGTAAATTAAAAATCCAGATATCAGCCATATGAGCTGAACAGATAGCAGGGCACCCAGAACTTCAAGGCGACCATATCCAAAAGACTGGTGTGATGTTGCCTCCCAACCTGTAGCCCACACTGTGAAAAGGGAAACAGAGAATCCAGCAACATCAGTTAGCAAATGTGCAGCATCAGTGATAACTGCAAGACTATTGGCTTTCACACCACCAATGACCTCCACTGCCATAACTATTAAATAGAAAATTATGAGTCCAGAAAGTTTCATTGCTGACTTTGATCGCTCTTCTGATTCCACAGTAAAACTTTCTTGTTTGTTGAAGGTACAAACAGGACTGTAAGTTAGCTGGGGTTCAATAGGAAGGATGGATCTTTCCTTGGATGCAATAGCCATTTCAATATCATTAAGGTCCTCCGATCTCAAAATGGAGACTTCCTCGTGTTCCATCTGCTTGGATAAGATGTTATCAATTCAATGAGAAAAACAAAGAGAGAAAGAATAGATAAAGCAAATGTTAACGAAATCATCTAAAAAATGTGAAAGTCTAAATGGATCCACAAACAGGCAAGCAGCAGAAATTTCTCCAAATCACAAAAGCAAAAACAGAACCTAAAATTTTGGAAAAACCACGGAGAAACCTGCAACTACAATCACATTACACATAACAGGCAATCTTAAACCATAGTATACTGATTCTCCCAACTGAATTTCATTTGCAGATAAAAAAACCATCCTAAACTATTGTTTTGATCCTTATAGTGCAAATATTGCCGAATCAAACAGACAAGTCATCTTAGGTGACATACATGAGCTTGTCCTATAAAAGTCTTATTCTGAGCACATGGCATGGCAAAGGCGTGCATGTTTTCAGTATCTTTCCTTGTAGAATTTCAATCTCAACAACATGATTCCAATTTCATCCATTCAAGAAATGTTCTGTCTGTTAATTAAAAAACACTCTCTGCCAAACAGCAATGCTTTGCCTTATGGACAGAAACTAGTTCAGCAAGCATGTAAAAACACACCAAGAAGTTCAGAAACATTGTTCCCGCAATCCAAGATCAACACAAAAAAGGAACTGAAAAGTCAAGAACAACAACAAAATCAAAATTTGTCCAACCACAATATATTTAAAGAAACTCAAACAAAGAAGTAAGGCAACTGATCTGCACAATGAAACTAACATGTTTGATCAAGCATTGTTTTTGGGGTAAAAAAAACTATAAAACCATTTATAAAATCTAAAAGACGTCGCAAAATTAGAAAAAGCATGGAGAACACAGGAGGGAAAGGGTGGTTATACCTATGATACGCTTTAGGGCTTCAATCTCAAGAATTGAGGAATTGGGTTGATCATAAACGTGAAAAAGATCAAAACTTGATTGGAAATTGGTTAAGAATCTCCTTACATGGAGAGACACAGAAACATTCAAGTCCTTCCCATATTTTCCATGTGAAAGACCGGCCGGCGGGACCGCAGTTCCACAGCGAAGGCATCCTTTAAAACGTTTGATTGTGGAGCATATCAGTCTTGGGCACCTTTTCGAAGTGTGATGGGATTTATTTTTCTATTTGTTTTTATCTTTATATGAAAAATTTAAATTTAATATATTTAATATATTTTTAATTATTTTGATATGTTAATATTAAAAATAAAAAATATTATTTTAATTTATTTTTAAATAAAAAATATTTTTAAAAGTATAAACACGATCTTTTTTTTATTGTACACATTTATACCAGTTTTATTTTTATTTTTAAAAAAATCCTCTCCTCTGCCACAGTTATATATAATATAAAAACATTTTATTTAATATTTTTTATGATAATATTGGAATGATTTTCATATTTTATAGTGAAGAGAATATTAATAGATTTTTGAAGGAACAAACTCCTATAAAAATAGAAATAAAAAATAAATATAAAAAATTTAAAAAATAATATTTAAAAAATTACTTTTAGAAAAACAGGCCTGAGGGGGAGGGGGGAGAGGGGAATCTCTCCTGCTATATTACTAACCATGTCAGCACGATGCCGGTCGGGAATACCAATCTCACCTACTATATTACTAACCTTGTCAGCACGATCCCGGTCCAAGCTCGAGCACAAATTATAGACACGTGACTTATCAGTACGGTGTCAAGCAACCATTCACTTCAGTTTAATCGATTTTTCAATTTTTTTGCTCACCCCTAGTTTAAGCATTACATTAGCAGAAGACTTTCCTCACTGATCATTTTTATATACATTACTGATCATGTGCTACAGAGTATTTTAGCTAGCATTTTTATTTCAGGTCAATTTATTGGTGGATTAAATTAAGATAAGTTCTTATTTTATTAATTTAATAAACTTAATATATTCAAATGACAATCAAATTCCTATCGTAAATATTTTGTACAAATCTACTTTTTTATATATAATATGTACAAACCTACTTAATTGTATTGAATTTAAATCAAGTTTAGATTTATTAATAATTTTAAATCCTGTTTGTTTTTATATTTAAAAAATAAATTTTATAAAATTTGAATTTATTTTTATTTTAAATTAATATTTTTTTTAATATTTTTAAATCATTTTAATATGTTGATATCAAAAATAATTTTTTAAATATAAAAAATATTTTTTAAATAAAAAATATTATTTTAATACATACTTTAAAATAAATTTAACAAATGTAGGTCACTCAGGATTTTCAATGATGCTTCTGATTATTGTTCTAAAATATATGCCCAAATTTATTAAATTCATGTTTTTGTTCATAAAAAATTAAATATTTAAGTAAATGATTCTATTTCCTTGTTTAGCCAATAAACTTTTAGGTAAATAAAGTGTCAATACATATTTATTATTTTTTAAAATTTATTTTTAATATAAACACTAGAAAAACTAATTTTTTTCTAAAATTAATTTAAAAAATATCAGTTTTATAAAAATATTTTTCAACCGTACACAATAACAATATCTATGCTAGGGACGGATTTTCCAACTCCGCCCTCGGATTTTTTTTGTCCAGCAAAGCAATTCAGGCCGCCCCACATGATCACTTCTTCTTCTATTTTTTTTTAATTATTTTCATCGTCACGACGTGAAGAAAGCGAACATTTTATTATTAGTCTCTTTCTCTTCCCTATCAGCACTGATTCAAAATCGAATTTTTTTCGAAGATAATAATTTGAGAGAGGGAAATAATCTAGAAGATCTACAAGTAGGTTCTGTTTATATTAATGGAAGGGGAAGGACAGCAGCAGAAGGGGGCAACAACAATGGAGGCAGGTCTTTTAGACAGCATAATAAGTCGTTTATTAGAATTTAGACAAACGAGGTTAGCCAAACAACCGCAGGTTCAGCTTAGTGAAAACGAGATCCGCCAACTCTGTGCTGTTTCTAGAGATATATTTCTTCAGCAACCTAATCTTCTCGAGCTCGAAGCCCCCATCAAGATCTGTGGTAAACCACCCTCTTCTTTTCCGTTTACTTTTCACTATGAAATAGAATTACGGAGTGGTTTTCTGGGGGATTCATTCAACTGATTGCATCTCAATTCCTTATAACATATAGGTGATAGAATGATACCATTTATTTGTTTGTTTTTGTTTGGATTAAAATTTGATGACTTTGGATTGATGGAAATAAAAATCAAAATTTTGGAAAAAGTTTATTTAATGGTGGTTGGAAAGATTATTGGTCCCAGCAATTTATATAGGGATTCTATATATCCTGTGTGTTGTTTGATAGGGAAGACAAAATGTTGTTGATGGTAATTGATGAATTAGTTGGCATAGATCTGTGGAGCGGATAAGTCTCCTTTCTAGATTGCTCCATTTGTTTAAAGTCTTGGTCTTGAGAGCACCCATTTTTTATATCAAAATTTGGTAAATAAGACTGTTTTGGAACTCTCTTCCTAGCCTCTTCAAGACGAGATGGCAGCAACATAAAGCAAAACAAAGAAGCCTAATCTTTAGGTGGACTATATCTGAACAATGGTTTTTGTTTTTTTTCCTTATCGTATCTTGTTCAAGATGTTAACTCATTGGGCCCGAATTTGATACTTGCTCAAAATGCCGGATACGTGGGTATATGTCAAAAAAATTATTAAAAACTGAATTTAATTTTGGATGGATGGGGATATACTAAGATGCATGAGGGATACAGTCGGCATATGTTTTAGGGTTGAATTTTCTATTTGAAAAAGAGTTGATTGTATAAATTTTAAGTTTTATAAATTGAAATGCGAAACATTTAACTAAAATAAAGCTACACTTTCACATTTTTAATAAGTTATTTGCAATATTTATTTTTTCAATGGTGCTAACTATTGCAATAGTTTAATGATAAATGATCATATTCTTACACGAGAAACATTTTAAATAAAAGAGATAGTAATAATAATCTTTTTTGTTTTGTAATTTTTAATACATGAAACATGATATTGTTGTTTCTAGTTTAAAAACTTATCTATTTTTTTCAATCATAAATGCCAAATTGAAAGGGAGATATGTAACAATAATTAAATTTGAAAAGAACAATGAAATTATTGTCGATCCTTTCATAATCATCATAATAATGATTGAGATATATGATTTTCAGATATCCAATCTCATGTAATTGTAAACCAAATACAAGAACATGATGTCAAACGTTTTGATTTATACTTCATATGTTCATACATTCAATTGATTATATATTGCTATTGGTTATTTTGATTTTTAGGTTTTATTCTTAATTTCTTGTTAAAATAAAGTTAATGTATAATATACAAAATATTAAAAAATTTAACATATCCATCATGTATTGTATCCTAAGCGTTTAAGAATTGTTATATCCCCATATCCATACCATGCCGTACTTGTATTCCATGTCCATGCCCGTGCTTAGATAAAGGTAGAAGAGATGGCGATGGTGATGTTATCTTTATGAACTTTTTTTTCTTGAAAACCTGAAGTTGCTATCCTAGTTCTTCGCTGGTGGTTTTACTCTTTCTAAAAGTTGATGAGGCTGCACTAAGGGGTTCGTATTTATTAAGTTTATGTGGAACTAATTCCATGATGAATAAAATATATCTGTAGTTCAGTTGTTGTATATTGTTATAGTGAACTTGGGTGGTCATGCATTAAGCTGAATGAGCTTACATGTTCACAAATGACTTATGCTTTCCTCAGGTCAATTGCTTTTGAACAGCTAAAGACCTGCCAAGGTTAAAGCTTTTGTCTAGACAAGCAAGAGTTATCGTAATGCCCGTTCCCATAGTATTTTCTCAATGCATCATAGTGGGAGGTAGACACATGGTCATTTTTTTTTCATCTGAGAATCCAGAAAGTGTAGAAACTAGCCTGATGCTGTTTGCTTGGTATTTCCTCTGTTGTAATTTGCCATAATTTAATATTATGTATATTTTAATTGTCTCAATATTGCTAGGACACTATTAGTTAATATCATCATATGCATAAGTATTAGGTGTACAGGATGGGATAAGAATTGGTTAGTGTGCTTGATATTCTATGGTTTGTTAGCAATAACAGATTTGGGTTTCCATGCTTTAGTTCCTTTTTGCCTCATGCTGTTTCTCTCATAAAATGGAAATCCTTGTGTCGGCCTGTCAGGAGAGGGTTTTTTATTTTGTCTGGTTGTATCAGGAGAGTTTAGGCCTGGAATACAAAATTTATGAAACTGGCAGAAACTTAACATCAAATATGTTCTCAACAAAAAAGAAGCAAAAAATGTACCTTGCAGCAATTTTTGGTATTAGAATTCCATGTTAGGTTTAGCGATTTTTGGCTGAGCTTGTTTCTGTTAAGGGTGAAAGGGTGTGGCTTGTAGAATTCACATTGCGTGGACAATTATTATGTATGCTTAACGTGCATCCCTAGATTCAGATCCCTTCCACAATGCTTGAATAAAAACACTTTTCCTTCCAGGTGAAAAGCATTGTTCACTTCAGACTAAGCAATGGCTATCTTTCTTTGCATTGAAACTTAAGAGCTAATCTCACTTGAAATTTTGCTAGGTGATTTTAATTATTTTGCTGATCCTTAAACATGGTAGGACAAGCATGGTTTTGAGTTTGGACATCTTGTTGATAGTAAGCCTCTTGGCATTATAGGTTTATGTTACTAGTTAGATAGTCTGTGTAGTGCAACCATAGTGTGGACAATAAGTGAGTATTTCTTTTGCTTGAAATATTTTACAGGAAATGGGTGAACATAGATTTATGGTCAACTTAAACTTGGTTCATTTGTTGAAAAATATTTTTAGCTCATAAAGTTACGTAAAATATTTTATGGATATTAACCACCTTAAACTTATTTCAATGTTTGGGTGTCTATGTTAGCACCATATTCTACATATTATTGGAGCAGATATGTATGATGAATTAAACCTTAAAAATCAAGAATTGTTTTGTTCTACATTCTTTCAACCCATTACTACAGGGTTTTCTTTTTCCCATCCCTTTCTTACGGACCCCCCCCCCCCCCCCCCCCCCTGACCCAACCAACACAACTGTTTCTCAGGCATCGCCTCCGACGAACTCGAGTGGTGCTCTAGTGCCACCTCCACCGGCATCGCCAGCAGGATCGACAACCCCGTCGCC